CCTTCAGATCCTGGCAGGTGCTCTGAGGTCTCCACACAACCTTCTCTTTTCCAGGCTGAACAACCCCAACTCTCTCAGACTGTTTTGGAAAGCTTAGGTTGGGCTATCCCAAAGTAGCAAGGGAAGCATTTCTGTTCCATTTGTTCCGTTACTCCACATCCACAAGGTCTGGCAGAGTGATTAGCCTAGGTTCAAACACAAGAAAAGCTAAGCCAGGTTTACACACTCAGTTCTTGCTTTTTCTGACCTACCAAGATGGAGATGTGTTGCTGCCTTTGGAGCTGGGAATTAGAGACCAAAAGTAATGAAAAAGACTCTTAGGCAGGGTTTTCCTTCCATATCAAATGATACAAGGAAAAGGAAGAGGAGACTAATTTATGTGCACAGCAAGAGAGGATCACCCCAACATTTGTTAGCAGTGACGTGTCTGGTTAATCCCCAGTTTTGGAAGATTTTTTGAAAGGCATTCTTGTTCTCAGCAGATTTGGGCTTAACCCTGAATCTTCTGCATCGGCTCACCCATCCTCAACAGGATCCTCCTACTCTTCCCCGGACTACTGATACTATCACTTTGGAGATGGAACAAGTTGCATGTCTATGTGTCACAGTGCTGGTTCTCCTTTGGAGCTGCTTTGGGTCCTCAAACCCATTGGCTTACAACTCCCACCAAGGGTCCCAGGATATCCTGGCCCCACTGACTCACCCAGAGCCACAACCCTGCACTGTGCCAGTGTGGCATTCCAGTGGCAACCAAGGAGTTTTATTAAAAGCAATGACTGAATGATTTGAGTCTGAGCAAAAGGGTTTTTTTCAAAGCTAATTATTTCATTCCTACTACATAGACAGAAGCTTTTTGCTCTGTTTGCTTTGTACATATTATAAACAGAGTTCTGAACAGTTAATTGCTTTTAGATCATACATTGTACTCTTTTGCACTGAGTCATAGGTTTGAAAGGAGCAATTAGGGCACAGTAGTGACTACTGAAATGTTACCAATTGTGTTGGGAAGTGACCTGCAAAGAGGAAGACAAATTACTTGCAACAATAAAAACTGCCAATAAAGTGCCAAATTAGTCTGTTTACTGTACAGCTTAGCCTGATATAACTCACAAAGATCACCTTCACTTGATCTTGAGCTACAGATGAATTCAAACAAGTCTTTTATTCTTTCAATACCTTGAACCTGCTGAGAACTCTCACAGGAAAGCACCAAATATTTTGCAATGCATATGTGCAACTAGGTTAGGATTTTCAACACACTAAATACTGAGATGGCTGCACAAAGCTTAGCCCCAGTTTCCAGAGCCTTATGGCAATCCATTTGGACAGAACAAATAATAACAGGTGTTTCACATTCTCTTCCGTGAGCAAGAAAGGAGACTTGTTAAGTATTTGAAGACTGAAGAAAGTCTTTCCATGTGAGGGTGGTGAGACACTGGCACAGGTTGCCCAGGGAGGCTGTGGCTGCCCCAACCCTGGCAGTGTTCAAAGCCAGGTTGGATGAAGCCTTGAGCAACCTGTTCTGGTGGGAGGTGTCCCTGCCCAGGGCAGGGGGTTGGGTCTGGATGAGCTTTAAGGTCCATTCCAAGCCCTTTACATACTAGGAAACTATGAAGTATAAACCAGCTTTAATGAATAGCTGATATGCTTAAAGTAAGCCACAACGAAATTACAAATCTTTCTCTGGCCAAGTGCATAGATGCTAAGGGTTTTTTAATCAGATTAGCAGCTTCATATCCTAGATCCTATAGATATCCTATAGATAGACACTTAGGTATATCTAGATGTAACACCTTTCCAGGGGCTGGCTGGACCGGAAAGGTTGACAAAAGCCATCAGATTGAAAAACCCTTTTATAGCCTTTAACTCCATCTTGCTGCACAGCAGACCTACACAGAAGAATCTTCTGCTACTTTAAACCAAGAATTATATCAGAATTCATATGATGAAAAGTCCTAGAAATATCTGAACCTTTTGCACTGCAAATTGAAGGTGGGACTAATTAGCAACAGGTGTTTATTACCACCATTCTAATTTTCTTAAGGATAGAGTCATCAGAAGGTGTTTTTCCCAGAAGAAAATGAGCTCCAATAAGGGTAAGTTTGGTGAGCCACCGGATTGCAAGATCAAGATTCACTCCATGAAAGAAAAAGGGTTCCAATAAAAACAGGGTTTCTCTTTCTAATTCAGCTGTGACTGACTATGAAAACAGGACAAAGCTATTAAACATAAATACATCAAGTATGCTACAAAAATGCAGCATTGCCAATACTGTTTATCACTGCCAAGCCTGGAGCAGAATAGATAATCCACATCCCTCAGCTTCCTGCTGGAACAGAAATGCTTCTCTTTCTAATTTTGGATAGCCCAACCCAAGCTTTCCAAAACAGGCTGAGAGAGTTGGGGCTGTTCAGCCTGGAAAAGAGAAGGTTGTGTGGAGACCTCAGAGCACCTGCCAGGATCTGAAGGGGCTGCAGGGAAGCTGCAGAGGGACTCTGGGTTAGGAACTGGGGTGACAGGACAAGGAATAATGAGGAGAAATTGAAAGAGGAAATTAAGATTAGATACCAGGAAGATTTCTCTGTGAGGGTGGTGAGACACTGGCACAGGCTGCCCAAGGAGGCTGTGGCTGCCCCAGCCCTGGCAGTGTTCAGAGCCAGGTTGGCTAAAGCCTTGAGCAACCTGTTCTGGTGGGAGGTGTCCCTGCCCAGGTCCCTGAGGTCCATCCCACTCCCCTAACATTCTATGAAACTACAAAAAAGAAAACATATCTTGGAGCAAAAATAATGCTCTGGTAGTAAATTTCTTGTTCTTAAATTTTCAGAACATACAGAAAGTTATAAACCAATGCTAAACCTCATTAAATTGAAACAACATTCCTCTAAAAAATATTTCATCATCATAAAAGTTCATTTTCTGAGTAAAGGACTGCTGCAAAAATATTTAACCTCTTGCCTTGAAGTTGAATACCACCATAAGAAGAGAGAAGAAACACTCTTGCACACAGGTAATAACAACAGGAAATGTTTGATCATGTGCAACACTGGTGTATTTTTTATTCCTATGTTTTCTTGTTTTCACTTGTACTCTCACATTGCCACGGGATCTGGGCTAAGTCTCCCTCCCTAGATGAAAAAGGATTAGTTGCACCTCTGCTCTCTAGATCACGAGAAAGACAAGCTGTTGCAACACACCAGCCGTGGCAGATTCCCACATCCTTTCAAGTGTTTCCCAGTCCAGGTTATCCCGTGTCTCCAGTGCTCTATGACTGCCACCTCACGTTGTGAAAGGGAGTAACACTCCCTCTGTGCACTGCTCTGCACTTGGGAAGCCTCCCGGTCCCATTTAGGATGATGCTCAGCTTAAAGACTGCTCACCCAGTCTGGAATTTTGCAAGATTTATGCTGCTGATTCTTTACACTCACTGACTGATTCCCTCTGCAAAACAGGCATTGCAACTGAGCTTCCACAGCCAAGGCTCAAAGACAGGATGTAGCTTCACAGTTTCATAGCATGTTAAGGGGTTGGAATGGATCTTGGAGATCATCTAGTCCCAACCTGTCACTGAAGACTTTGCTTACTCCACACAACACATCCCAGTTTTGTTCCTATTTTACTTCTCCCCGTCATACCAATTTACACAAGACAAAAGCAACACCAAAACAGCTCCTGAACCCCAACTGCTGACTGGTACAGACTCATAGGAGCCAACACCACACAAAACCAGCACAGGCACCTCCCCTCTCATTCCTGAGGAAGCACAGGGATGGTTATATCCATGACACTACAAAGGCAGTTTTGGAGACTGCACCACTCAAGAGGCTGGAGTGCCACTGCTGCTGTTCTTCCACTGAAGTCCTGGGAATAATCAAAGACAAACCACTTGGATCAGGCCACTGTCCTTTGAGAGCACCTGGATATTGTGTCTTCCAGTCTACTAAGAGCTACCTGTAAGGCCTAATATCTTCCCACAGTTACAGTGGTGTTCCCAAAGGCTGTGAAAGGATAGGGATGTAAACACTAAACATCCTAAACAGCAGGAAATAAATATCCTATACAGAGATCTCAGACTGGTTGAACTGCTGCCTTTGGGTTCGTGCAACAAAACAAGGTATTTACAACAGTTTCAGGACAGAAGTGTCTTTTCCCTGTCCTTACACTGGATTTACCTCCTAAAGTCTGTCCTTCCCTGGTTACAACAATGCTGGTTTGTGGTTACCTCTCCAGCCTCTAGAATCCTACAACAGCCTGTTCTGGCCCAAAATCACTGTTGGGATTGATCTGTAATAATTATATTCCCATAAGTACCTTTCAACACCTTCAATGGGAACATAAAGCTTTAATAACACAAGAGACTCAAGGCAAACACATGCAGACAGATGGCCACACGGTCATGCCTAAGTACCCAGGCAATAGAACTTATCATAGGGATGTTTTCAACCCCCAGTCTTTCATTTTTTGCCACAAATGGTTTTTAGCAAGGACATTGTAAACAAAAAAGAACATTGTTTTAACATGATGGTCTCAAACTGTGCAGGAAGAGAACATCACTATCAGACAGCAGCAGGATGAAGGCCTGTGTGGGTCAGCAAGTCAAGAGACAAATACTTTGGCTGGGCAAAAGAACATCAATGAAAGAAAAAAAAGTAATGTTGCACCATTAAAATATGTAATCTCTTCTCCAAGCTCAAATTCTCCCAATATTGTTATGTTTAGAAGTAAACTACTGAACTTCTATTCACATGAAATGCAGCTAAGAAAGAACTGACCACAGAAAGCTCATCTTCAAAATGCCAAAGCCTTTTGATTTACCTTTTGCTTTCTTCCACTGCTTTGTCCAAATGCTGGAAGATATCTTGGAATAAAATGCAGCTGGAGCGACTATTGATGTCATAGCCATATCCTCTCTTCCAGTATTGCTTCAGGTCATTCAGGTATTCCAGTACCTAAAGTTAGTACAATAAAAAACCTTGTGAGCATTAAGGAAAAACAAAACCCCTTCAAGCTGGAGCAATGATGTTACCACACACTGAATGAAATCACCGAAGTTTTGACACAGGAACACCCCAAGCATCAAGGCTTCAGATGAGACACCTTCAACGTAAAAGAGCTCAGACTAGAGAGCCACCAAATTCAGCAACTGGCCACACTCACAGCCAGGCCTAGGGAAGCAACAGACACAATTCCCCACACTCCAATAAATTTCAGACCAAGGTGGTTTTCTACAAATTTAATGGACTTGAGTGGATTCTCAGCCACAATAACTCAATCTCCCCTTTGAGTGTACCAAGGCAGGACCAGGGCAGGGATCATCCCCCTGGACTCGGCACTGGGGAGCTCATAGCTCAGTGCTGTGTTCAGCTTTGGGCCCCTCACTGCAAAAAGGCCATTGAGGCACTGGAGCGAGTCCAGCCAAGGGCAAGGAGGGCAGCAAAGGGCTAGAGCACATGAGGAAGGGCTGAGGGAGTCGGGTTGGTTAGCCTGCAGAAGAGGCTCAGGGGTGACCTCATGGCTCTCTGCAACTCCCTGACAGGGCTTGGAGAGAGGTGGGGGATGGTCTGTCCTGCCATGGCTGCAGGGAGAGGACTAGAGGGAATGGCCTTGAGCTGAGCCAGGGCAGAGTCAGAGGAGATGTGAGGAGAAATGTTTTCCCTGTGAGGGTGTTGAGGCCCTGGAATATTGCCCAGGGAGGTGGTGGAGTCACTATCCCTGGAGGTGTTCAGGAGGTATCTGGATGCAGTGCTGGAGGATATAGTTTAGGGGTTCCAGCAGTGACAGATTAATGGCTGGATCTTATAGGTCTCCTCCAACCTTGGTGATTCCACGATTCCAAGTTTTAGCCCTAACAACAGTGCCCTGCAGCTTCATTCCAGACTGAGTTACAATTCAAAACACCAGGCTGCTGCCAGCTTCATTTTGCACCTGTGAGGTGCTGCACATCACAAGACAACCACTGTCCACTGCTTTTTCAGCATTTCTGGTTTTGCCTTTAGCTAATCATCCCTCAGATGGAATCCACCCCACACCTCTAGCTCAGCTTGTCTGTTTCCACATGCCAAACACGTGAACACAGCTCAAACAGACAGAACTGTGCCTCCGATTTATGCAAGAGCACATGATGCTCTCCTTGTTCTCTGCTACTTATCTCACAGTTCCTGGCAACCAAGTTGTTTCTCACCTCACTGCTGACTTATTTATAAATACACTGAACAGAGCAGGTCTCAGCAGAAGCCCATGGGGACTTACTCCTCACTCCATCATCCACCCTATGCAGAGGTGTCCCCTCTTTCCCAGGGGTGAGTGTCCTTAAGAGCCTTGGGAGAGCCTTACTGAACATCAAATGGTATATCAAAGACGTTCTGAGAGAGGACGAACAAACATTTGCCTCTTATCTGGATTCTACTGGGGTTTATCAACAGGTATTTTGTTTAGAGATCTGATAGTTCCCAAAACTATATAAAGAGTGTCTTAGAGGCCTCATTTGGTGTCCTCTGGAATCAATTTTATCATATGATATGATTTATCATATGAAAAATAAAGCTGCCCAGAGAATTTCTGATGTTACAGAAATAAAAGCATGATATGAATTGAGCACAATAGGAAAATACAGTTTATATCAGGACAAATCAAGACTGCACCAGCACTTAAGTCTGAATAAAGAAGGATATTTCAGTCTTGCTGCTGGATTAATCCAGAGCTCTTTGAAGAGCAACGTGTTTTGTTAAGTGAAGAGGAAGAGGCACAAAACTTGAGTTTTGACTGTGCAAAGAGTTATATCTGAACACTACAGCAGCTCTTGAAGGTTTCTCAGGTATCTCTCCCTTTCAGCACATTACCAAATGGTGGGAAGGACCTTAAATATCATCCAATTTCACCTTCCCAGGTTGCTCCAAGCCCCACATACCTTGGCATCTTCTTCACTGAAGAGTGAACACCATGGGGAAGTCACATTTTTTATAGCCAATTCATATGAGCAGGTGAGAAAAGCCACTTGAACAAGATCTGCAATAAAGCCAAAAAGCAAGCAAAGATAAACCAGTGCTACACAAGTGGCAACTGCCAACTTGCCTCTAAAACGAAATACAATTATCATTTAGCAGTGCAAAGGGTGTCATCCAATAAATAATGGCCAGCACAAAGGCCAAGCACCAAAAACATGAGCTTTTAATAGAATTATTGTGCAGAAGCCAAATTTGGGACTGCAAGTGTTTCACATTACATTGCTACAGGGGAAAACAAGAGCACTGCACATTAAATGCTGCACATCTGGTGATGCATACACTGTAGGTGTCAACTGCTGGTGGATCCTCAGTACCACAAAGGACAGAAGAGTCAGAGGATCACAGAATGGGTCAGGTTGGAAGGGACCACAGTAGGGTATCTGGTCCCACCGGGGACACCCCAGAGCACAGGATTGTGTCCAGATGGCTCTGGAATATCTCCACTGAGGGAGAATCCACAGTCCCTCTAGACAATCTGTTGCAGTGCTTGGTCACTGCATGGGGAAGAAGTTCTTCCTCATGTTCAAGCTGAGCTTCCCGGGCATCAGTTTCTGCCTGCTGCCTCTTGCCCTATTGCTGAGCACCACCAGGCACAGAGTCAACACAGGGAAGGTATGTGATCTTTGACTACTCACCCTCAACTTTGGGATTGCAGTTCAGGGACATGCTGGAAACAACAGCAGCACCTATTTGGGACGGTTCCCCCACCACCTGATCACAGGGAAACCCAGCACTTCTGTTCTGGACAGGGGAGTTATACCACAGACCTACAGCTCTGCTTTTCCTGAGGCTGTTTGCGTGTTTGAGTTGCAACAGGAGTAGCAGCTACACTTACTCCAGAAGGAATTAAAAGAATAAAACTCAAGTGCTTCTAAACAAAGGTAAAGTTGATTTAATCTATAGCAAAGATGTTTTCAAGCATCTTTTTCTTCTGAGCACTGACTAACTATAATTCATTCCTGCAACACCAACACACACTTACAGACTCAGGCATTTAATTAGAGACTGTGTCTCCAATTTACAGCATACTTTAACCTACCTCCTCTGAGGTGTTCCTTACCTGCATTTAGGTCCTCCACAGGCAAACACAAGGCACTTGCAACCTTCTCCAAGACCTTCTTCATCTCTGGCCCCTCTTTGAAGGCATTCACCTGGTGCATGGCTGCATCGTTCTCCTCCACCAAGGCCACAAACTTGGCACAGTGATCAAAAAACCTCATCAGGGAATCATTAACTTCAACCTCCACCTCTGAAAGCAAACATGGACATCAGAGGAAGCACTGCCATCCCCAGGGGCACCAGGGCCTAGCTACTCCGACACCCTGGAGTGACAGCAGTGGGGACACAGGGTCCCACTCAGCCTGGGGATCGAGGACATGGACTGGGCTTGTGGCTTCTCTCAGCCATGGGGCAGTGGGGAGGGCACAGGACTCCTTCAGGGAAGCATGGGGCTCCCTCAGGGAGGGCATGGGGGTCCCTCAGCCCCTCAGGGAAGGCACAGACCTCCCTCAGGGAGGTGAGAAACCTCCCTCACTCTCTCAGGGAAGGCACAGAGCTCCTTCAGAGAGGGCACGAGGCTCCCTCAGCCCCTCAGGGAGAGAATGGGAGTCCCTCAGGGAGAGAGTGGGACAAACTGAGACCCTCGGGGAGGGCACTGGGGACCCTCAGCTGCTCAGGGAGGGCATGGAGC